TCCTGCCTCAGCCTCCCAAGTACCTGGGACTACAGGCGCCTGCCACAACGCCTGGCTATTTTTTTGGTTGCAACCGTCATTGTTGTTTGGCAGGTCCAGTCTGGATTCGAACCCACCAGCTCAGGTATATGTGGCTGGCGCCTTAACTGGTTGAACCACAGGCGCTGAGCCGAAGAGTTGGTTTTATGTGTGGTTGCCCAGGAATGCCTTTCTCTGAAGGGACCTTTGGGAATGAGTGAAGAAACCATATGACCAAGTCATGCCTATCTGGGGAAAGCACTGTAGGCCAGAAGAAGCTTGACCTGCAAGTGAGCTTAGCATGTTCAACAATTAGCAGAAAGCCAAGGCCAGTTGCAGTGGCTCACACCTGTAATCCTAGTACTTTGGGAGGCTAAGACTGGAGGATCACTTGAGGCCGGGAGTTCAAGACCTAGGGAACATAGCAAGACCTCATCTCTACAGAATTAGCTGGGTGTGGTGGCACATGCCTGTAGTGCCAGCTACTCAGGAGGCTGATGCAGGAGGATCACTTGTGCCCAGGATCCTCACCTTTGAGGTTATGGTGAGCTGTCATGACACCTCTGGACTCTATCCCTGGTAACAGAGGGAGACTCTGTCTCAAAAACAAAAAAGAAAAATAAAGCCAGTGTGCCTGGAAAAGAGCCTCAGGAGGTGGGGGGAAGGAGGATATTCAACACAGGGCCTGAGGCCATGATAGTGCTGGGAGTGGAAAGGTAGAGTGTGTGGGAAGCCATTGTTGGGTTTAAAGCTGGACTGTTTCTCAAGATGGTGAAATACTTAACCTCTCAAAAGTATCAAAGATCAACTTGTGAAGCAAAATTCTTCAGAAAGGAGAGACTTGTAGCTACTTTTTGAATTCTTAAAGACCTTTAAGCTCCACTGTAAAGTTAAATCTCACCACTTCCATGTCTTTCAACAGGAAGGAGGTAGTGTGATGGTCCTCCCAAACATCCCTGAAGAGGAAGCCAAAAAACTTTTCCCTAAAGGAGTCTTCACCAAAGAGCTTCCATCTGGCAAGAAATACCTCCGCTACACACCCCAGCCTTAAGTCTCCAGAATTTGGTGCCAGAGCTGCTCGCATAGTACAGTGAGCCAGAGGATGTCAGCTGCCAATCATGTTTTCCAGCAGCTCCCTAAACACGTCCTGATGTGATCATAGCCAAGGTCTTTAGGTTGCTACACTACTGGCTTATTAAATGAAAATGGCACTAAAAATTTCTTGGGATTCTTTATTCTCTGCCCTCACCAGCACTCTGTTCTGCTCATACATCAGCTCTGCTGGCTGTCTTTGAAATATGTTCCATATTTGAGACTCAGATCATGTTGGATCTCTGCAGGGTTTGCCATCAATGAGGGAATATCAGTTGATGGTTAAGAAGTCTTGCTTTGTGCCATCACAGAACGAAGATCAATTCTTTCAGCTGCCCTAATAAAACCCTCTCTTCTTTTACTTGTTTTGAAGGGCAATAGACTCGAGGTTCAACTTCCTCCGTAAACATCCAAGTATATAACCCAGGAACATAGAGTAACCCAGGTGTTCTTTAACATTCAGTATTTTGATCATAGCACTTTTAAATTCTGTACTTTTCTAATAGATATCTAAAGTGGGAAGAACAAGAAAAGGGACCTTTAAATATTTTTCTATAAAAAAAAAAAAAGGGCAGTAAACTATCAGAAGAGGGAAACTGCAGAACAGACTCCTCTTGCCTGCCAAGGAGGTGCAACAGAGGTGTGAGCAACCCCAGCAAGTGCCATGTGCCTTTTGCAGTGTTTCCTTGTGCCAGTCTGCTCCTAACGATGTGTATGTGAAAGGGCACACCTTGTGCAGAGGGGAGATGATGCTCAAAAATGTTTTATTATACAGTTGTTCTTACAGTGGGTTGCTATTTTCTGGATTTTGCTTTTTAGGGTTCGACAAATAAAATTTTTGTTAAAACTGAATCAGAGAATTTTGTTGTCACATTTTGAAGTACCAGTTTAGACTCATGTCCTGACAGGCAGAGCCTTCCTTTTTGCTGGGATTGTCATTAGTACTTTTCTCTAAAGACAGATATCATAAGCTCTCCTACAATGAAAATGGAAGAGCAGCTGAAAAACATGTGATTTTACCACCTACACATGGCCCACTTCGCTCCATCAAATTATATGCCAGGATCTTAGGATGCTTCCTATGATGTTGTGATCTCTGGTGTAAAGAGCTCTCTAAACTAATGCCTTAACGGGATTGCTACAAGTAGGAATACAAACCTTGAGGGTACATGTGTGCTTTTTGCTACTCTGAACTAATGGTCTCTCAGACTTTAATTACACTGTGCTAATAAGTTGTATGTTTAAAAAAAGGTGTCCCACTCATGGTGTCTTAGTCTGCTGGGGCTGCTATAACAAAAATACCATAGACTGGTGGTCTAAACAATAAATATACATGTATCACAGTTCCAGAAGCTGAGAAGTCCAAAATCAAGGCACTGGTATAAATCAGCATTTTGTGAGGACCGGCTTTCTGGCTTAGAGTTAGCTGCCTTCTCATTGTATCTTCATGTGGCCAAGAGAGATCATCTCTCATGTCTCTTATAAGGGCGCTAACCCCATTCTTGAGGGGTCCACCCTCATGACCTACTTACCTCTCAAAGGCCCATTCAAATACAATGACATTGGGAGTTTGGCTTCAACATAAATTTGGGGGAGACAAAAACATTCATTCCATAGCATCTGATAGAGTGAAAGCCTCTGAGTAGAATAATGTCAAACATGCACCATAATGTCATTAAACCTTAGTGTCCTTGAAGATGACACAAAGAAGGTTGAGCATGTAGATGGGAATTCCAGGTTATGCAATAGTCTAGGGAATGCTGCTCTGACAGACAAAGAGAGCTGGCCTGCTTTCACTCTTCCTCAGCTCAATATATTTTGCCCTTATACCACTAATACCATCTGTCCTCTTCTAGCACACGTCAGACAGTTCCTTCGCTTTTCTATCTTCTGTCACTTCTCTTCTCTGTCAGGTTTCTCACTGTTCGCTTTGATATTTCCCTTTTCCGGTCTATCTCACGGAGAGTCTGGCTTCGACTTAACAGTTTGCAGTTTAAGTCTCCAACATTACTCACTTAAACTTGAGTCTCATGTTTATACACCAGTGGAACATTTACCTTCGAAGCTATGAATCCTTGAATTCATCAACTTTTTCCCCCACCTCAATAAATCTATTGCCCCGCCCCTCCCATTACCCATTCAGCCTTGGTGTTTTATTTGGCTTTATCTACACCTGCATGGAAGATGTCAGTATAAAACACTGAAGAACTTAAGGGAAAAGGAATCACAACCTCAAATCGAATTCTGATCTGTCACAAAGGAGCCACAAAGCTCTGAGAACTTGTACAAGTGTTCTTTTCCAAATGTAAAATATTACATAATGAATACCATTTCCAAAGTAGAAGCAATCCTAAGTACATTTTAAAATATAGCATGTGGCTGGGCACAGTGGCTCACACCTGTAATCCTAGCACTCTGGGAGGCTGAGGCAAGCAGATCGCTTGAGCTCACGAGTTCAAGACCAGCCTAAGCAACAGCAAGATCCTGTCTCTAATAAAAATAAATAAATAAAAATAGGTGGGCACCTGTAGTCCCAACTACTTGGGAGGCTGAGGCAAGAGGATTGCTTGAGCCCAAAAGTTTGAGGTTGCTGTGA